CATTCAGTTGTGCTTTACTTTTGAATAAGCACCATGAAAAATGAAGCTTGTAAGTTAGGTGGTCCAGTCATGTTTTTCAGAAAACATAACTTAGCAGACACAAACAATGTAAAACAAATATTGCGAATAGAGTATTTTTTTTAAAACTCTCATGATTAACTTTGATAATCACTTACCTTCAGGTAATTTAGGTGACTTCAATAGTCACTGTACTCTATACAAGTTAAAAGCATTCCCTGTGAAAATTATATTTGAAAAGATGCAAATCTATCAAACAATAAAAACACAACAGAAGCGTAAAGTTTCCACATACCCTAAATACACTAAATATTTCTATAGTCTCAAATTCAGCACTATATTGCAGACTAATGTTAAGTATAAAACCCTAGTAGGAAATTTTTAGAATTTAATTTTGTGATAATATTTTAAAACTGAATTATTGTCCTCAATTTTCCTTGACAGCATTTCCTTGGAGCCATTTCCTTGGAGAAATGGCTTCATTATTAATCTTTCTTTATCAGACAAAAATAGTCCAATCACTACTTTCATAAAGGAATTTAACACTTCACAGGTTAGTTGCTGAAACACATACTACAACCTGCCAAAGACAAAGTCTTGAATGATCATTTTAATCCCTTCCCACCCCAATAAATAGAAAAATACTAATGTGAAAACAAGCAAACCAAGTAGGTTGAAATATAAAAATTATTGGGAGTGCGAGTATCAAAAAAGCAAGCACTTCATTGACTTTCCTTACTGACTTTTTTTCATATCAACTTTGGGTTCAATAAAACCACAACTCTAGAAATTAAGTGTTATTAGTCATTTGATGCAGTATTTGATACTGCTTTCTATGCATATCATAACTAAAAGTACAGTTTTAGAGAAAGTTTTAAGTCACATAAATTTCATGTGTAGAGGCCCACATACTCTGAAATCAAAGAAAATGCCAATCACGTCACAGCTCATATGTAAGAACCTGGTAAAATAATTTTAAGGTCTTAATAACCCAGATAATTTTAAATCAAGTGAGAAAAGTAATACTTTAAATGCCGAAAGAAATCTGTCTCCCAGACAGCATTCTAGTAATTTCTTCAGAGACTTTTTAAAGTTACATAAACATTTCATTTTTTGTTCCTATATATTTGAATGACTGTCAGTAATCCCTGCTGATAGAAGACTGCTTTGGAAGTCACAAAAGAATTTTTTCCATAATTATCTTCTGGGCAAGCGGGTCCAGTTCAGCCTTAGTAACATTTTCAATTAATGCAGACTTCAAACTTTGCAAACACTCTTTTAAAATATCACTTTTGACTTAACAGAAAACTAAGTTTTGGGAAGCTACTTCTTTAGTAAGTTTTATATTCATTTCAAAACAAAAACTTGGGCAAAATTAACTGTGCACATTTATATGCAGCTAACATAATCCAACGGAATAAAACCTCTCCCGATATAAAACATTTTCTTAAAAAAAAAAAAAACTTCCCCACAATTTTTAGCAGGACATATAGACACTGTACTGTCACTCTACCTTTAAACAAAATGCAACTGATGTTTGCTAAGAAATAGCTTTTATTAAAAGTACTCTGCTAGTACTTATGCAATTACATAATTTTAGCTAAATATTGTCCACCGCCACAATTCCTATGACCAAATTAACATTACCAAATTTTAGGCCTTGACAGAGCCTAAATGCTTCAGTCACTTCAGACCAATAACTTAATCCTGTTTTCACATACCTTATACACTGGCCTACCAATAGCTCTCAATTCCTGTCAATACCTTCCATTCTGCAAAAACAGGGCTCCATCCCCATCCTTAATGAAAATCAGTCTGTTGTACCTGAAACTGCAAAGATTAATGCTTTTCAACAACCACTAACTTTTGAAGCCCGAAGGCCTAACTTTTAGACACCTAAAGCTATACGCTGTTAAAATTCTTGGGCTTCTGTCTTATTCAACAAGCTGACTCAGTAAATTTAACACACTGTATGAAAAAAGCTAATATATCTACAATCTAAAGCTGGAGTAAACCCCTCTTACCGGCATTTTTGGGTATTAGCTGGTAAAATACACTTGACATTCTACACAAATCACTAAAATTAACAATACCAAAAAGTGTCAGAGGACCTGAAACCTAAAAATTAAGGTGAGCAGCAATTCTAGCATAACAACAATACTTAAAATTTCAAGCATGAACTGAAGTTTTAACTCTGCAATCTTCACTTGCTACACACAATATCCTTGAACCTACACGACATTGTCATCTGGGATCAAAAACTACTCAATCTCCATTCTATGTCTATGACAAGAGCACCGACCATTAAATGCTACTGAAGTGAAAATTTCAAGCCCTATCCTACATCACCCCATAGGGAGAGAAAAAGGTAAATATAACAAAGATCTAGTAAGAACGCCTTATAAGGTATATTATGGCACTATTGATTTCAAACCACAAAACTTCTAAATACAGTTGAAAGTTGTAAGTAACTTAAGTTTAAACATTAACAAAACTTTTTGCCCTCAATGTGCACCATATATACTGAAAATGATTCCGCTTCTAAAGTTATGCAAATCAGTCATATTTTAAATGAATCTATCAATGCAACCCAGGAAACTAAAACAATCACTGCAAGATTCTGATGCAATATGCGTACGTGCAACACTAATTTTCATTTTATTCTCATCTATACCCTTGATCTAGGGCCTAAGCCAAGATTTAATCGAAATATGCTCAACCTCAAAGCGTCTACTTTTTTGTTCATTTAGGAGACCGACTACCGAGCTCGCTAATCCACTAACAGTGTACTGTATTCTGTATTAACGGACAATAGCCCTCAGGAAGAGACCACATAGATAGCCTAAGAAAGCAATCGGTGCCTTGACACTTGCAACCAGGCAAGAGTTCCGTCCAGCCGAACACACCCTAGGTTGAATACACAGAAGAGAAACACAAAATATATGACCTAACAACCTGACCAGGGTTAAATGTTATAGTCACCCAAACTACGGACATTTTCGCATCCGTCTACTCCCACGTTCTAAGAGAGTGACAGAAAGGCAAAGAGGAGCAGCCGCAGAAATGGATACAGGTCAAGTCTAAGTCGAATCCATCCTCCTGATATCTCCTTTTGTTTCTGCTAACGATCTCTTTGATGATGGCTGTCATGTCTGGGAGCCTGTGGCTGAAGAAAAAGGAGGAGAGAGATGGCAGAAGCTGCTGGTGGCGGGGCTTCTTCTGCAGGATGGAAATGGCTCTGGACTTGGCGGTAGCTGATGCCCCTCGCTCTGCTGCCGCTTGGCTCTGGACCGCAGCCGGGTAATGGCTGCTGCGACGGCTGCTGGATGGTTGCAGCGACTGGGCCTGCTTCTCCTCAGCAGCCAGAGGCCTGGCAGCGGCGGCAGCGGAATGGGGAGAAGACGAATAATCCTCGGAACGGCTGCCTCCTCCGGCGGCCTCTGGAGCCCGGGCCACGGGGGGTGCGGCGGCGGCGGAGGGGAGGTTTAAAACCGGCCCGGGTCCCTGGATGTGCCGCCGCCGCCGCCGCCGTGTTGGAGGCAGTAGAAGGGGAGAGACCAACTCTCCGGCGTTCCCAGCCCTGGAAATGGTGACAGGCGACTCAGACCCCCTCCTTGGAGCTGCGGCCGCCGCCGCCGCCGCCGCCGCCGCTTTTCCCCCCCGCTCCAGGAGCGGGAGGTGCCGCCGCCGCCGCGCCTCAGCCGGCTCCCGCCCGAGCCCACGGCTTCCACCTTCCCTTTCAGGAGAAGCCGAGGAAGAGGCTGCACGGTTAGAAGAGACGAAGAGGAGGCGAGAAACGCCGCCGCTGCCGCCGCCGCAGGCCGGCCGGCTCCCCGAGGGCGCTGCCCCCGCGGCTGCTCACAGGCGCTGAGAGGGGCTCCGGGCCGCGGCCGCCGCCGTCTCTCATCTCCCTCGCCTGAGCCCGGCCTCGCCTCACAGCGGCTCAACTCTCAAACTTCCATCATGGCTGCAGCTTCCGAGGGGAGAGAACTGAGCGCAGCCGCGTCCCGGCGCCCGAGCCCGTATCCTGCCGCAGTGCACAAAGAGTCCCGCCACATCACCGTCCGCCGGCCTGCCCGCCCCCTCCGCCGCCGCGCCGGGAGACCGGGCGCCTCCGGAGACCGAGGGGAGGCGGGTGGCGAGCGAGAGGCCGACGGGACCGCGCCGGGGGAGGGAAAGGCACGACCGGGGCGGTCGGAGGGGGCAGGAGCTGTGGCTCCAGGTGCGTGCGCAGAGCCCCCAAGCCGCAGGCTCTACTGAGCATGCCCAGTGTGGCTGCCAGGGGCTAGCTCTGGTCCGTTCCCAGCCGCCCGCCTGCAGCTGCACTTGCCGAAGCTGCTTTTGCAGCAATGCTAGGCGAGGATAACGAGCTAAACCTCGGCCTCTGCCCAGAAACGCAGCCGGAGGCAGGGTAGGCTGTTGCGGGGCGGGGGAGGAGGACTGATGATGGAAGCTGAGATGGGTGCGTAGAGCAGTGTCACTGACTCGAGTCTGAGGTTACCTGTGCATAGGTGGAAAGGACCAGGTGGCCACACTAGTCAGTGTATAGGGAAATGCAGAATACCCTCCCCCCTGCCTCTGCCCCTGGACTTCCGCGGCGTGACCTGCATTCGCTCACTCCTTTTGCACCGCTGTCGGATCACAATCGTTCGGAGAGATTTGACTGTAGCAGTCTTTGCCTAGAGATCTCCCTTCCCCCCCGACCCTGTGTCCTCAAGGTGTCAGTCTCAGCATAAAGAGCAACCTGCTATTGTGTCTCCACTGTGTATAACCTCATCTGGCTCCCTTGCAGCGCCCCACCTCTCGCTTCCCCCGGTAACTGCTCGTTTGCCCTAAAAATGAAAGCTCTCAGCCGACCGTGCTGAACGTGAACACATCGCCCCTTGAATTTCCACGGCCCAAAGGGCACCTATTTAAATGAACTGCACGGGGATCCCCGTCAGTGGGACGCACCCCGCAGCCCTCTCCTGAGCCCGCTCCGGTGCCCCCAGGATAGTCGAGCATCTCTCCCCACCAGGCAGACTCCAACGCAGTTCGCCGCGTCGGATTCTAGCTGGGTCCTTAGAGACCACCTAGCCCCGCCCCTCCTTGGCTGCCGTGAAAACCCGGCAGGATGGATCGCCCGGGGCCAGGCTCCACGAGCCCCGGACGGACCGTGCACGTTTGGGGTTACCGGGCCGAGTAGAAAGTACGGAACGGTAAGAAGCTGCAACTCAGCGAGTGGGCGGAGCGAGGAGACCTAGGAGGGTTCAAAAGGAGGTGGAAGGATACGCGGGCCACAGTCGGAACTACTTTTCGAAGGAGGTCACGTGTGTTCCTAGTTGGGTAACTTTCCAAATTCCCACTCCCCAGTGATACCTCCGGAGGCAACTACTCTTCCTTTGCTCGGGGTCCTCTCGCCTGGTGCAGGCAGCGGGAGCCCAGCCTTTCCCTCGCCGCGGCGGAAACAGGGGTTCGGACTAGCCTCCCGAAGAAGCGCTGTCGGGGCTGGCACTTGGGGAGCTGATTACACAAGCACCCACATACAAACACGTGCCCCCTGCCTCCCGCCTGCTGGCTGCCGCCGATTCTTACGGAACGCGGGGAGAATCTCCAAGCTGGTCCCTTGCCTGCTACCCTAAGTCCCCAAGCTGGTCCCTTGCCTGCTACTCCTTGCCTGCTACCCTAAGAGCAAGCCAAATGACCGAGACCTGAGACTCTTTGCTCTAGGTCGACCTACACTGCACCTTCCCAAACGTGGGAAAAGGAGCTGGGCGCTAGGGGTCTCGGTCCTCTGCCTGGCTGATGCCCTGCCCCTTAGGACAAACCCTTTGCTTCTGGGCTCGCGGGTATCTCCTGCTGCGGCCCGGAGCTTGCATTCTCCGATGTTGCAACAGACCTCCAGTCATTACCCCTGAGCTGGTGAGCGCGCCCCACCTACTGTAGACTCAGCTAAGTGACTTATCTGGTCTGAGAACCTACTCCATGGCGGTCAGCCCAGAACAAACCTGTCAAGTCTGCTTACAGCCCCGATTGGACTGACCTGTCGCCGTGAAAGAGCTGGTTCAAAAATGCTGAGAATTGGATCGCACTCATTTTACCTCGCACCGCACCAGTCAAGGACTACAAAGCAAGTAGTCGCTTAAAGAGAATGAGCATCAACACCAGTCTGGGATTTTATTGTTTTTTCATTTCCCTTAGGAAGTAGAACTCCAAACGACAATGTGAGTCATAAAATATCTAACGAGACCTAGGTTGAAGAACAGAATTGTTTTTCAAAATTTGAGAGAATGCGAATCAATCTGCATGTGTGTTCAGTAATTGTGAGTAGGTGCCTAGGAAAGTCTGAAGAGGATTTATGCTGTATTTGAGAAAGAGGACTGTATAATGTGCACGCAGTAGTTGCAGGCAACCTCTGAAAGCTAGACACCCCAAGAGACCTAGCGCAGAAGGCCATAGGCCATTACCTAACTCCGGGACTACTAATTAAACCTGGACCATTTACAGTGTTCTTAGAGATCTGTGAGGCTCCATAAAACTTTGCACTTATATACAGCATTTAAGATAGCTCTGCAGGAGTTCACAACCTGCTGAAGCTTCGGGGTTGATATTTATCGCGAAGGTCGGTTTTGTGCATAGTTTTGGTCAGCTTGGGAAAGCCAAGGACCACAGTGAAAAAGGAAATGGAAAGCAACCAGAAAAGAATAAGAGAAAGGCCTCTAGTTGGTTTCCAAAGATGCAGATTCTGTCCACACAGCCTAGAGTGAACTACAGATTTCATTATTTTACAAATAACCAAGGATAAGGAGTTCATGATGTCTAGGTGTTCTACTAGATTGCATGGTAAAAAACAGAGCTGTGCTTATCAACTAGCGTGTGGTAGAAAAAGGGGAAATGAAGACGAACCTTTAAAAGGGGAGTAGATTAGGGAAGGGTAAAATGTCTCACATTTGTTTCTCAGGTTGCTGATCTTGTCCCCAGAGTCCCTGTTATTAGCTTTGCCCTACCCTGCCTCTCCCCTCAAGCCTACCCTAAGTGACAATTAGTATCATAGCATTTGAGAACCTCTGAAATCTGCTTTCATGGAAGAAAATGAAACAAGGTGTATTCCTATTCCTGGTGTGAGAGGATCCTCTTCAATTCCATGGCAGAGTTACTCTGGAGCAGAGAGGATCTGTATCACCAGCACTAAAGTGCTGGAATATAAGACTATCCTATAAGTATTTCCATCTGGCTAAAGAAAAAAATGGGAAATGGTTTGCTGCTTCTGTAAACATCAGGTCCCTCTATTTCTCTCTAGTGGTATATGAAAGGATCATCAATGTTGGCAGATATTTGGCCATCCTGACAGCAACATCAGGTGGTTATTAGAAGTTGCTGAATAAAATCCTCCTCCTGTACCTAGTGTTGTTTCTGAAAGAAATACTGATGCATCCTTTTCCAATTTTTTTGTTTTTCTTTACCTTTCTCCCTAAATGGCTGGCTCTATCTAAAGTAAAGAAAGTTTCAAAAATACATATATTTTTAAGTTCAATTGAAAATACCTGCTTGGCTGTACAGATATTACAATACACTGGTCTCCAAGCACTTCAGTCCTTTACCTGTCTGGATTCAGAACCAGAATGCCACAGTGAGAAGCAGAAGCTTGTAACAAAGGGAGAATTATATAAAGCTTCAGGATGACTATGTAGAATAATTAGTGAGCATGATAAACCAGCTTTAATTACAGTTTCTAACAGCTGATTCCAAAACTTTATTTTTACTAAGCCAAAATTATGTCCAAATAAACTTTCTTATTTTCTTTGGTAAGCGAAATGACCAGCAACTTGATGTGGATGATATAAATACTTGATGTGCTTTTTGCAGGTCCTCTGCTAAAATGTCTTTTGTGTAAACACTCTGATTGTTATAGTGCGTTTCTCATCTCCCACACTCTGACCTTTCAAAAAGGGATCTAAATGGCTTTAATTTTTAAATAATCTCTATTTCTGTTTACTGTTTTCTAAATAATACAGAATATAAAAATATAATAATCATTGGATTGAATTTAAACCCATTCTGCCAAGGGTCTTGGCAGAGGTTTTCCCTTCATTTCATTTATCCTAATAACAAACATTATTGTTATTTCAATAAGGATAATTTTCTGAAGACATTCTCCAAAAGGCACTACTGTGGGTCATACAAGGAACTACATTCTAAAAGAGAATTTTCCATTATTGTCTACAAGCTTCCCATGTCCCAAATCTCTCCTGAAGCTATTTCAGATGGCACAGTGTCATCTTTCACATCTTATTAGAGAGATGTGCTGTATGAAATCATCACTCTCAGAAAAATAAGGGTTTAGTTGGTTGCTCCTGAGAACCACAGAGCAGACCAAGGACTCACTGTGTCCAAGTGACATTCAGAAATTTTGTCTTGGACCATGGAGCAATGAAAATAAAAAATACCTAACATGACAAGACAGCTTTGACTGTATTAGTCTCCAAGCTAACATTGGCTACCAGCTATTCTACTTGGTCTCCCTAATACTAACTAACTCTAGCCATGTGGAACACATAGTTTGCTTTTCAGACCTTCCAATAGTAGTAAAAGGTAATTCCCATATACCAGCAAATATTGGGACACCTACCAGGTGCTTCATAGAATAGCCCAGAAATTTTTTTTTTTTTTTGAGATGGAGTCTCTCTTTGTCCCTCATGATCTCAGCTCACTGCAACTTCTGCAGAATCGCCCAAATTTGTCTAGTAGAGGGACACTGAGAAGGAGCCAAGACCCTGCTCTGCCTAACTCCTACAATTTTCCTCTTCAAAACATCCTTCTGGCCTCTGAGGCATCACAACAAAAGCACCTTTTTCAAAGAGAAAATGCATGGGAGAAATAGCCCTGAACCATGAAAAAAGGCAGACTTATAGCTTATCTGCTTTTTCTTTACTTCTTTTCCCTTATTAAGACTCCACACTACATTTAAAGAATCTTTTTTGTCCATCCTCTTGAGGGTAGGGGATATTATCTTGATTCATTTATTTAATGATTTAATCAACAAATATTTGGGAGCCAATTATGTGGCAGTACTGTTCTAAGCTCTATGGACAGAGCAGTGACTACTATGGCATATAGTGTTCACCATCATGGAATTTAGTCTGCATTGACAACTTGACTTCTTTGGCTGACATTGTTACAACCTCTTCCCGGGCCACAGAGAAAAGGTAAAGCAATAAAAAATACCCTGACATTTGATAATTGTTTTGTTTTGTTTTTGAGACAGAATCTCACTCCGTTGCCCAGGCTGGAGTGCAGTGGCATGATCTCAGCTCACTGCAATCTTCCTCTTCAGCCTCTCGAGTAGCTGGGATGACAGGCATGTGCCACCATGCCTGGCTAATTTTTTGTATGGCTAGTAGGGATGGGTTTTTGCCATGTTGGCCAGGCTGATCTTGAACTCCTGGCCTCAAGGGATCCTCCTGCCTCTGCTTCCCAAAGTGCTGAAATTACAGGCATGAGCCACTGCGCCTGGCTGGATAATTGTTTTCAGTTATCTACTGCTGCAGAAAAAATTACCTTAAAATTTTCTGCTGTCTTCCTCTTGGGATGCAGGCACTGTGTAAAGAATCTTGGGCCACTGAATGATGAGCAACCACAGCAAGAAAGAAGTTCCTAACCATTTTAGCCACTTTAACTGAGATCCCAGACATGTCGGAAGCCATCTTGGACATTCCAGACCCAGCCAGACTCATCCCTGAATAAAGCACATATCTGACCCAAACTGTTATCATGGGGGCCACTTCAAACAGTGGCTCAAAACAATTACCACCATTTATTTTCTCACAATTCTGCAACTGGGGAAGGCCACAGCTGGGCAGGTTGGCTCCCCCATGACATCAGTTAGGGTCAGACGTGCTTTACTCAGCAGTGAATTTGCCTGGGTCTGGAATATCCAAGATGGCTTCCCGCATGCCTGGGACCTCAGCTGGAGTAGCTAAAAATGGTTAGGAGCCTCCTTTCTTGGTGTGGTTGCTCATTATTCAGTGGTCCAGCCCAACCTTCTTTACACAGTACGTGGATCCCAAGAAGAATACAGCAGAAACTACAGGGTCTCTTAAATCCTGGGTTCAGAAGTCCCAGAATGTCACTTCTACTGCATTCTCTTGGCCAAGCAAGTCACAAGGACAGCCCAGATTCAAAAGGAAAGGAAAGAGACTCTATTCTTTGATGGAAGTAGTGGCTGGGATAAAAGAAATTGTTGCCAGGCAATTTGGGGAACAGTCTGTCATAATCCATCCTCCAGGTACAACAGTATCCGTATGCACATATATGGACACACACAGACACACACACACACACACACACACACACACACCACACACACACCCATACAGAATACACTCACTCCCTTTCTCCAAAACTATCATTCTGTATAGTATCTGTGTTAAGGTTCAGGATTTAGTAATACTAGACCCAGAAGTGGATGAGGCATTTCAGATGCAGCTTCTCTTCATCTGGAGTCCTGTTAACTAAAAGACAAGTTACATATACAACATACAATGCTGAAAAAGGGATAGGATAACTGCAGTAGACAAGCTTGTTTGAAAATGGGAAAAATGGAAAGCATATAGCAGTCATTAGTTCATAGCAATTCTGAAATCCAGCCAAGCACTGTCACTGGTCCTCTGCGGATCAAGTTTTCCATTAGTGCCTAGGTTGGCCTCCCTCAGAATAGTTTCCCAATGCAGTGTTCTCAATAGCTCTTAGCTCCACCCTCTGGGGTCTAGACTAGGACCTCTGAATCAATTTTCCTTTTTCATAAGAAACTGCCTTCCTTTTACAGTTGAATAACTCTCTCAGCCTGCTTCCTGCCCATAGAAAGTTGGGGGCTTGGAAGCTTTTTTCATTTTGAACTGTCTCTTCCTTAGTCCAAGCTAGTGTAGTTTTAGCCATGTAACTCTATAGTTTTGTGACTCTTATTGGAGTTCACTTTTTGCCCACAAAGCAACATCTATAATTCTTTCAAAAAACAAACCTCTCTGCCTACAGTCCTAGCACTTTGGGAGGCCAAGATGGGAGGCCAGCAGTTTGAGACCAGTCTAAGAAACATAGCGAGACTCTGTCTCTGAAAAAAATTAAAAATTAAAATTAAAAAAAACCTCTCTCTACTGTGGACTTGTAGAGGTGGCTACTGTAGGACAGCCCTTAAGATTCTTAGAAGACCTTTTATGTAGATGTGAGACAGTATCTTAAATATTTTAGAGGTCTTGGCACCTTGATAGGATCTTTACCTTCAGGCCAATTCTATAGGCAGGGCCTTGAGGCCATTTCTTACTTTAAGAGTCTTTCTGGCATAAAGAGACTCTGCTTAAAAATGAAATAGTTCCTTTTTTAACGCATCTCTGTTTCTAGTGATATCATCATACATCACTTGTGTATCCTTGTACATCCCTAAAAGAAGCAAACTGACACTGAACATTCAGCCTGAATGTTGCCAAATCCGCAAGTTTATTAGGTACACTCTCTGTCTTCTATGTTTTACCATACATTTACCATACATTGGGTTTTCAAACATTTTGCTGCTACTAACATGATTTTTCCAACCTTCAATAGCTATTTTCTCACTGCTCTTACAGCCTCTATTACGAGTCTTTTCCCCAGACTAAGGAGACATATCAACTAAGTTCAAGCGTGGGAACCTGGCTTAAATCTTGGAACAGAAAAAGAACATCACTAGAAAAACAAGTGAATTTCATATAAGGTTTGCACTTGGTGTTAATTTCCTGGTTTTGATCATTGTTCTGTGGCTATTAATAAGTTATTGGCCAGGAACAGTGGCTCATGCCTATAATGCTGACACTTTAGGATGCTAAAGCAGGAGGATGGCTTGAACCCAGGAGTTCAAGATCAGCCTGGACAACATAGTGAGACCCCTATCTGTTGAAAGCAGGATTTTTTTTTGGTGGGGGCAGAGTCTTGCTCTGTCGCTCATGTTGAAGTGCAACAGTGCAATCTCAGCTCACTGCAACCTCTACCTCTTGGGTTCAAGCAATTCTCCTAGCTCAGCCTCCTGAGTAGCTAGGATTACAGATGCATGCCACTACACACAGCTAATTTTTGTATTTTTAGTAGAGATGGGGTTTCACCATGTTGGCCAGGCTGGTCTTGAACTCCTGGCCTCAAGCAATCCACCCACCTCAGCCTCCCAAAGTGCTGAGATTACAGGTGTGAGCCACCATGCTTGGCCAAGACCCCCATCTCTTAAAAAAAGTTAACAATACTAGAGCTTCTGGGTAACAAGTATACATAAACTCCACACCAGGCCAGGCATGGTGGCTCACTCCTGTAATCTCAGTGCTTTGGGAGCCCAGGTGGGTGGATTGCTTGAGCTCAGGAGTTTGACACCAGCCTGGGCAAC